CGCAGATTGAGTCGTTCCAGAAGTTCGCCAAGCGGGTGAAGGATCGGGGAGCGGATGTGTTACTGAGTAATCATCAAACCCAAGACCACACGATGCAACATCTGGACGTTCTTGCGAATCGCCAGTGCTCCGGACGTCACTGCACCCTTCCGAACCCGTATGTTGTTGGAACGGATCGGTACGCGCGGTATTTGAAGGTGATGGAGCTGTGCGTTCGGCTGAATGCCGCCCGAATTAACCAGAACTTGAGGCTCTAAGTTATGGGCTTCTATAAAAAAAAAATGATACTTTATATGAGTGATTGAAACAAGTCTTTGTGCTGTAGATTTCGATTTATACGTGCAATGGGAGCAAACAACCGCTGTGAATTGTCACGACAATTGCAGGAGAGTTGTAGACTCCGCTTCGGTCTTCAAAATCCCGTAACATGCTTTAATGTCCGTTTGAAATCAAATTTCTCCGGAATATTATCCTTCCTCATCTGCGAATACCTCATCTCACTTATTCCAGCCCCTGATCACACCATCATCAGTGCGGAGCCCACAAGTCAGCCATTGGTCAGCTGTCCATCGGCATTCGGTGCGAGCTTCCCCGCACAGCTTTTCCGTCCTGGCTTTAACTATGCGCTTCAACTGACGACATACGCTTCATTTCTCCCACAATCCCACCCTCGGAACGGTAGTATTCTGTCTTATTACCTTTCTCCTCTTGCCCTCAATGACGACCCTCCATCTTCAAGCCGCGAACAATGCGGTCCGGGGGCGACTAGCGCTTGTCACGGGCGCCAGGTACGCGTCTCCTCGCTGGGAGACTCAATTCATGATCCCAGTTGACATCTTATTAGTGGTGGCATTGGATCGGCGTGCGTAAGGGCGTTAGCGGCTGAGGGCTGTGATGTTGCATTGCATTACTCTTCAAGTCAGGTATGGACTGAGATGCACTACTTCTCAGGGATCTCCTGTGCGGCAACCGTGGCTAATGCTGCTGGCGGAATGATAGGACAAAGCAGACGCAATTGCAAAAGACCTTCGCAGTTTGTACCCGTCGCAGCTCTTCGTCTGCGTAGCTGCAGATCTGTCCGTTCGAGAATCGACGCGAAACCTTGTCTCAAACGTGCTCAATCACGAACAAGTGGCTCCCAAGCACAAGGCCATTTCAATCCTCGTGGCAAACGCCGGCCTCGGCAAGCGAATCCGCGATATCCAAGACATTGAGGAAGATGACTGGGATGAGTTGATGGAAGTCAACTCTCGCAGCCAGTTCGTCGTCACAAAGGGGTGCTTGCTGGGGATGAGAGCACAGGGCTGGGGGCGCGTCATCCTCGTGGGAAGCATTGCGAGCCGAGGCGGAGGCATCAATGGGTGTCACTATGCCGCTACGAAAGGAGCCCTCAGGTGCGTTCTCCTCAGTGATAGAGACTGGATGCTAACTATCTGCGCAGTTCCATGGGCCTGAACCTCTCCACGTTGCTGGCTCCCGAAGGTGTCACTGTGAATGTTGTAAGCAACTCCCCCTTACAAACGCCGTTGTGTAAAATCTCTGATTTGGAAAGGTCCTGCCCGCCATGATTGGATCAACGGGGATGATACCGGAACCCAAGTCAACGTATGGTCCCTCATTCAATCGCGAGATTGAAGAGGCTAACTTCCAAGAACAGAACCTGGAAAAGCAACACGGACATGGATGCCTTGAGGGCTACAGACCCCGGCCTCGCCATCGTCGGGTGCGTCCCGGTGCACCGCTTGGGCTTGCCAGAGGAGGTTTCCAACGCAGTGGTGATGTTCGTCATACGGCACCTGCTCCTTGCGATGTGTTGTTTTGCTAACGACTTGTCCAGGATGGCCAAGACTGGTTACATGACCGGACAGGAAATCATTCTCTCCGGCGGTTTGAAGTAGAGGCCATTTTGATGGTAAAAACCACCAATTCCACGATAACCGCACATTGTGCCCGTACTAGTGTCTCACTCTGGAGTGATAGTCTGCATGGCTGCTTGTTATGGCATCTTGTGACGCACCAATGCTATCTAGGTTACATGGCGGTCGCCAGCCACCACTCATGACACGGAACTGGGGATTTCCGCGGTCGCTCAGCCACAACACCGCCAAGCTAGAGGTCTAGACCCCAAAGAATCGCAGTCACTGCCCTAGCGTCCAACGCTTGAGAGGCTCCGTTCGGTTTAGAGCAACGGCTGAAAAGGCTGAGGGAGAGGTGCGTTGTTAGTGCGTGGTTATTCCTGTGGATGAGTGAGCCTTCCTTGGCTGTCGCAAACCAGCAAGTTTCATCAAGTGAGACAAGGAGAGCATTCTGGCGTATATTTTTAAGACACCTATTTCCTAGTGAATGGCCGAGGCCGCGGGAAGATCCCATTACTGAATCGTCTCCAGCCCTATGAGTGGCGCTTAACTAGCACGCCTCGACCCAATCTGCTCAGCGCTTGTCAACTGTCCCTCCAACGAGGCGTCGAGGCGATGTCATTCCAGCCCCAGTGTGTACTAGATCAGCAGCCTAGCGACCGATCCAGCCCCTCCAAGTGGTCTCTGCTCTGCCGCTAATGCCCCGTCCTCCCCAGGCGGTGCACGAGGGCTCCAATGACCCCGAATCAAGTTGTCGAGAGGCTGAATGGCGCCTCATCAGCTCGTCCCTTCGAGCCAAGGCGAAGTTGCTAGTGCGCCAAACCCAATAATAAGCTTATACTAAAGCCAGCTGAAGTCATAAGCACCAGTTCCCCCGCAGAAAGGTATATTTCTAGGCGGGCTGCGTCGTGAAGCGGATACACAACCCTCGCTCCTCTTCATCCTCGCAGAGAAGCCGTCGTGGGATCCATCCCAGAGCAGGCCACCGCTCTCCATCCCGTCGATATGGTCTGTCTTGCGAATTTTGTCGCCTTGGCGGGTTTCTTTGCTTCTGTTTCTGCAACCCAGGCCGACATTGGCTGGGCCGTCGAGGTCGCCACCAGCGAGGTCACTTTCAACACCGACAACGTGGGAGGCGAGGAGCGATTGTTCATCGATGCGCCCATCATAATCCACCGACTCCAGGCCAGAGCAGACACCGCCACCCTGAACGTTTACACCTCTCCATATCTATCGCAGAACGAGACCAATTCCCAGGCGCAGAGCCCAGGCCGGGCTCTTGTTTATACTACAACGACCCAGCCTCCGCTATCGTCGAAGGAATTCGTGCAATCAGTCTCCTTCAATGTCTCAGCTGCGCCGTGGCAGGACCTCTTCCTAATTGTCGACATCAACGATGGGCAATCGATTCTTTACACCGTACAACGAACCGGTGCGGTCATAACTTACAATGCCACGCTCAACCAATGGACGGCCTGGAACACTGGAACTTACGCCGCCAAAGTCAACTCTGCAATTATCCAGAGGCTCAAACGGTTTATCCCTGGCGGCCAGGACGAAACTGCGCCGGAGGACTCGGGTGAAAGGGCCGGAGGGTACCAGCGAGTGGACAGGGTTGTCCCCAAGGATGGAAGTTCATCAACCACCGTCCCCATTGTCGAACAAACCACGACAATCCCAGCTTACGAACCATCCGTCACGAGTCCGACAATCCCCGGGTGTTCGTGCGATCCTGTTACGGTGTATCGGACTGTCACCGTTTATCCCGAGTCATCGACACCACCGCCTCCCGACGACAAGAAGAAACACGAAACCCGAGACGACCGAGATATCCTCCCCGCCTTCGTCAACGCGAGAGTGACGTTCGTGGACCGCGAGTTCAAGGAGAGACCAGTGCGGCTGTTGAGAGTCACGGCACATGCGGATGTCTACGACGGGGACAGTAAAATCGGCACCTGGCAGTCGATAGAGACGCTGAACGAGAATGGAGAGGCGCTGTTTCAGTTCAGCATCTCGCCGGGCCAAAGAGTCGTCGCGCACACCTTGTACACGGAGCTCCGGGGCGACTACTACATCGTGGGGACCCGAAACAGCAGTTCGGACGACTTTCAGGTGACCCGCGTCCAGCTGGACTTGTCAGTCAATCCTTGGATGGTCAAGGCCGGAGAGACCGTCTCCACCACGAATAGCCACGGGTTCGACGAGTACACCAAGGGCCTGTGGGTGGCCGACACGTATCACACGCTTGCCGACTTCTTCAGCACACGCGTGGCCACGGAACCGGGCGAGATGGAAAAGGTCAACGTGTGGTACCCTTCCGCCCAGGCTGGCACCTTCTTCTCAGTCGGCGACAAGGTGCCGTACATCAACCTCCCGGCCATCGAGGCGCAGAACCCAGCCGTCATGGCGCACGAGTATGGCCACTTTGCGCACTACCTGGCTCGAAGCAAGGAGTCCTTCAACGGAGGCGGCGCCCACAGCTTCTGCTTCAACGCGGGAGTGAAGAACGAGACGAGCTTCTCGGAGGGTTACGCTACGGCTCTCGGTCTGATGGCGATCGACAACACCCACCTCACAGGAGGGGACTACATGGTCTACACGGATCGCGGGATTGACGGGGTGTATTCACGGTCCATGGAGGACTTCAGCTGCCTCGAAAAGAACATGAACAACCAGGAAGGCCGCATTGGAGCCGCCCTCATCGACCTGGTCGACCGACAACTCGAGACATTCCAGCCCGAGAGAGACGATCTGGGCCTCATGGGATCTGGCTTCGATCCGCAGCTGCTGAACTGGTGCTTCACCCCCCGCCTCATCTTTTGGCGCGCCGTGTATGACAACCCCGCAACCATGCTGGAGTACTGGTACGTCGAGCCCCGGATGTTTCGCAGTCCGACAGGAACGTGTACTAACAAGGCGACAGGCGACAATTGCAAGCCATTCTAACCGGCCGCAGCGAAGATATTGCCTGGGCGATTTTGCAGTATAATTATGCCGATTTCCCGCGCGACCCGTAGCATTGGGCTGGGGTTGGGGGGACGGAGGTCTAGGGTAGTTAGAGCATTTACCAAGAATACGCATGACTTCGCGCTCGCCAATGAACAGCAAAATGGGAGGCCAAAAAAGGCAACAAAAATAAACATGAGGTCACGGTGGGGATCGAACCCACAATCTCCTGATTCGTAGTCAGACGCCTTGCTGGAGAAATTGTTAGTACAGAGTCGGAGTGATGAACGGCGTCGAGAAAACACACCCATTGGGCCACGCGACCGTGGGGATTTGATGGGGTTTGGCGACATCAGGCCGATTGATATTGTCGCCGGTGTCCTAGTCAAATGTGTTTGAGGCAGGGAGAAAAGGGCGTCGATATTGGGGAAATTTAGTTGTACACAAGCTGCTAATTTTCTGGAACCTGCTTGGAATTGCGGCTCATCATTTCTTGATGAACTTCCTAGACAATCTATGAAAACCGACGTCATATCTGCGGGCCAAGATCACTCACTGTCTGTTCCTTACCTTATTAGCGGGCGGGGGAGATTCTGGACAGGCATGGTGCAGCGCAACGTTGGGGGTCCTGGCCGTGGAGGCGGCACCGTTAGGGCACTCTTCCGGCACGGTTAAGGCAAGGCGCCACCGGAAAATACGGTGCAGACGTAGTTGCGGATTTTGGCACGTTCCATAGGTGCCAACCCGGTACCACCCCCTGCGTTGTGTCTTGAGCTCCGTCCAGAACAACCCCGCCGCTAAGATAGATAAGCGAGCCAGTCCAAATCTAAGGTGCCGATCCGCTTGAGCCGCTAGTACTCACGCTATCGGGACAGGGGGCCCACTCTTTCTGCACGCAAAACCGCCCGGTGCAGCCAATGCACCATAACCACTATCCCTTTGACTGTCGTAAGCCTACACTTCCGTACCAAGCCCCACATGACCCCCGCTAAGGCCGAGGTACATGGAGTGACTTAGAGCACCGGCGAAATCAACCCCGCCCAATTCATCATACAATTCATTCTGTGCACTCTCATGGATTCCCAACAGCCCTCCAGCCAAGCAGTCAATGCATATGATGACAATAGCTTCATTCGTATTGATGACAGCCGCCGCGAGCAGCCGGCTGATAACACCTGCCGGCCGATACATGATCCGGTCCGGGATCGCGGTTACAACTTCGAGCCGATGGACCTTCCAAGCCGGGTCTTCGAGATAACAGCCCTGCCCCCAGAGCCGCTATTGCTTTTCCAGCAATTCCTACCTA